TTGAATCGCGCCAGCTGCGTTTTGCAAGCCCCAATGTGAGGGCCACTCCCGAGAGGGAATGATCGTCACATCTGCCCCTGTGTCCAAAAGACCCCTGACGATTTTGCGGTCCCTGCCCAACGAGAGTTGACATGTCAGGTGGGGCTTCTCCCTCCCCTCTACTTGTGCCCAGGCCACCGTCGGAGGTGAGGAGTCTCCCAATGTCTTCTTCCAATGGTCCTTGTCAGGAAACAGAATGGCCTGGGTGACGATTTGTCCCTTGGGGAGGAAGAGTGGGGGTCGGACACAGTACAGCCCTACCGCGAAATGGTCCCGGTCCGTAGTGACCAATCCTGGGACGATGTAAAGGTCTCGTGGCGTGTGCTTAGTATCTCTGACGACAGTCCACCTGCAATGTCCTAAACTCCTCCATCGACCCGGATGTTGGAGGTCGACAGACACCAGTTGTAAATCACTATTGGGGAGGTGTATGTCCCTAGTGAGCTGCAGCCTGTATGGGGAAGCAGAGGACAAGGTGTTAAGCGCAGGTTGAGACTGTAAACCACGGTTGTTAAATGTCACATCAGGTATAGATAAGAAATAAGACAAGTCCGGTAACGTGCATGATGGGTTTCCCTTTTCTCCTCCCTCCCCGCTTGATGTTACGTCACCCGCCTCATTTTTATCTTGGCGCAGGGAGGGGCTCCTCTCTTGATCTAGATTTTTTGCTCTTTTTCCTTCTCCTCTTTCCTCCTCCTATATTCTAAGTAATCTTGCCTCATAGGGCACTGGGGCATCCAGTGGCCCACTTTGCCACAGAGGTGGCAGGGGTGAGTCGCCGTTGTTCTTCTCCCGGACCCCGGTGTCATTGGTCCGGTGGCGGCGGCAGCTTCAGCGTCTGTGTCCTCTGGTGTCGGATATTCTGCGAAGGCTATGGAGGCTCTTTTGGGGTGTGCTTTCAGGTCTTGTAGAGGAACCTCCCTGGCACACACTTCTATCATCATTTCCACGGTGGGTCGGGGGTTTCAAGGGAGAGATCGGATAGCCCACCTGCACGCTGTGTTGGCATTGTAATAGGCCATCTGCCTAAGCATCTCCTCTCTCTCCCTCTCCCCCGGAACATGCGCCTCAATGAACCGGTAGAGTCTTTCCATAAATGCCAGGTAAGGTTCCTGCATGCCCTGCCTTATTTCTTCTTCTTCTAGCTGTGAGGTGGTAATAGCTAGTTTATAAAAAGCACTCTCTGCAGCCTTCCCTGTTTCCACAAATTGTTCTGTGAACAACGCCTTTGCCTGAGCTGCCCCGCTCGCCCACTGCCCGGTGCCCACAAGATGGTCCTCAGAATTTACCAAGCCCTCGGTGTCATGAGATGTGGAGGGGTTCACCCAAAGCGTTGGGAGAACCTCCACAATCTCCCTCCTCCATTCTCCTGCCCAGACCCTGAGTTCCATGGGCCCTAAAAGGCTGGAGAAGAGAGCCCTCAGGTCCGCGGGCACCAGATCGCCCTGTGCAAGGACCGGGCGAAGGAGCCCCCGGAAATACTCAGATTCCCGGGAGTACTCCCTCTGGGCCTTGCACAGCTCCTTGATCTGGGCCTGGGCTATAGGCACCCATTGGGCCTGAGCACTCCCTTCCCTGCTAAGGTGGTATGTGACCGGGGCGGCTTCCAATAAAGGCACCTGGCCCGGCTTCCGGTCATCCACCCCCACCCCCCCGGAACACAAAGCGTGGGAACCGGAAGGGGGACTGTGGGAACCAGAATTGGAGGAGGTTGAGGCGGGGCTTGGTCTCTGGGCAGGGCAACAGCAGGGGCGTGGCGACTCTATTTTCTCCGCCTCCAAGGTGGAGTTAGGAGGCGGAGCGGAATAAGGAGGAGGAACTTGGGAGGGGCCCATAGGGGGTGGAGCCATGGGTGGAGCGAGGGGAGGAGCTGAGGGAGGAACTGAAGGTGGAACCAGGGGCGGAGAAACAGAGGAGCAGGAGGGGTCAAGGGAGAGGAAAGGGTTGGACTTGGAAAGAAAGGGATTCTAGGGAGAAGAAGGGGTAAGGGCGGGAAAAACCATGTGGCAGCCTCCATTCTGGGCTCCATGGGAGCCATCTTGGGAATTTTCAATAAACCAGACAACTTTGGGGACCAAAACTGGGGACTTGGGGACAGGGGTAAAGGGATCGGGAAGAGAACTCCAGAGAGCTTGGCCAGGGCTCTTCGGAGGGGGAGGCCAAGCCGGTTGAGAGGGAGCAGGGGCAAGGTGACACCCCCTGCTTGCTGTTGGCCTTTAGAACCCCTCTCAAGGGCTCGTGCCGGTGAGAAGAGGGAGAGGAACGAGGGGTAGGAGCACAAGAACCAGGTGAACTGGGGAGCAAACTTGAACGAGAAGGGCTTTTTCTCAATTCCCCAGACGGGCGCAGCAAGGTTAGCACCTTGCCCGCCCAATAAGCCACATTAGTTAACTGAGTTTCCCCAGAATTAACTTCTTTATCTAATTTGGCCACAACGGCTGCCCAAAAACATGACTCCTTAGCAATTTCGGGGGAAACTTCAAGGAAATGAGAGAAAACCCATCTAAGCAACACTATCAACTCTTTCTTGGGGGCAGTAAACCCTCCCCCAAGTAACAAGCCCTTAACCACAATAAAAACTCCTTTTTGGGTTTTGCTCAGACCTGCACCCATGATCCTGCTCCTAAAGCACCCTAGACAAGGCAACTTTAGGAGGAGCAAGTACCCACAATGGAACATTCCACCCGCCCGAGAAAAATGCAAACTAAAACAATGAAAGCACATGCTGCCGGCCCCTGCTCCCCCCGCTGAATCCCAAGTCTGGGGTTGCAACAAAAGGGAAAAAAGGACATTGGGTGGTGGGATCCTACCCCCAAGTCTGGGGAGAAAAACCCCACAGGGAAGGTAAAACAAAAAACGAAAGGGAAGAGGACTGCCCCCAGAAGAACACCCCGCGCCGAGAGGCCCCCCCCCTCCGGACAGAGAGAGATACAGTCCCCCGCGCCCGCCGGCACGATTCCAAAAGACAGCAGAACACGCTGCAGAGAGCTAGAGCTTAGACAATGCAGCTGTGTATACTGCTTTTAAAATTCCCGGGCAGCAGCAGCAGGGAGCTGGGGAACACCCTGCCGAGCCAAGGCAGACACAAAGGCTCCCCCGCCATGGAATGCAGCCCCCCCGCAGAGCTGAGAGAACAGCCCCCCCCACGCCACGCGGCAAGCCAATACTGGAGCCCCTCGCGCCACGTGGCAGGCACCGGGGCCCCCCACGCCAAGCGGTAAAAAGGCGCGCGAAAAGCAGCGGAGGGGGGAGAGCGGCCCCGCCACGGCTAACCGCGCAGAAAATCCGCCCTGCGCAGAAAAACCCGCGGCAGCCACTCGGCGGCGCACCGAGAGAGCCCGGAGCCTGCCCTGGTGCCGCCGTGCAGGGACACTGCAGGCGCGAAAAGCAGCAGAAGGCTCCGCCGCGCGGCACCTACCAGGGCTTCCAGCAGCGCGCAAAAAGCAGCAGACCGCAGCTTCCCGCGCCACGTGTAGAGCGCTTGGGGATCAGCCCTCAAGGGAAGAAGGGTCGGGAGCAGTCCCCAGTGCAGGGAGGGCTCCCAGGGAAAATTAAAAAAGCAGGGGGTTAACCATCGAGTGCGGGGCTCACCTAATCTAGCAGCGGTGCAAACGAAAAGTTCAGGCGGATGGTTTCTCATCTCGAAGTCCTCCTCAGGTGCGGGGAGTTGCGGCTTCGAATCCCCCGGGAGCGCCACCCCTAAAACAGGGTCTGCTGCCACCGGAGGTAGTCTGACGACCAGAGGAATTTATAATCCATCCATGGGGTCCGGCAGTCCAAATAGCTAGGCGTCCGGCCGTAATCCAGGCCCCGCGTGGGCGCCAACTGCAGCGAAGTGTATTTGGCCTTCTGGAGCAGAGAAGGTCAGAGTCCGCCTAGCTGAGGTTAAGGCCGACACCTAGCTGCATAGTCTCCCAGCACCCCTTGGCGTCGTAAGGCCTCAGGCTGTGCTGGCTGCGGACTGGATCGCTGCTAAATGACGAGAAGGAAGGAGCTGGACACTCGCTGGGGGCTAAACAGGTTTATTGGAAAGCCCACGATGTACCAGCGAATGACCCCGAACAAAAGGCGCCTCAGGGTTATAAAGGGAAGGAGTGGACCTGGGAGGGGTTTACAGAAGACCAATAGGGGGAGAAGAGGGGATGAGCTTAACACAAATGACATAGTGGAGAGCCCAATAGGTACCAGGTATGGGAGGGGCTCCGGGACCACAGCCAACCACAACCCCCAAAGAGGAGAAGCTTCTGGAATACTAGGTGGAGTGGGGGCTGATTGACTTGGCCCAGGGAGGAGAAAAAGCATACATATAAGGGAAAAAGGGGAGGAGGAATTATATAACCTAACAGATTGACAATATAACTGGCAGGGCTGTGGCGGGAAAACTGAGGAGGGCAGAACCATTTTACACAAAATAGGGGGAAGCAGATACATAAAATGGGGGAGGAATTAAATGAACTTAATGAACACACTACAACAGCTCTCACACCTTGGTTTCACCCCCAAACCAGAATTTCTCATTCCCAAACCTTGGCCTGATACAGGAGGATGAGGAGGCTGTGAGGAAGAGGAAGATGGCCCGGGAGCCCCAGGCAGGTGAGGAGGAAGTCAGTGCCCCTTTCCACCTCTCTCCTGCTCCATCTCCCACCCCAGCACGGCCCCCAGCTGCAGGACAACCCTGCTGCCAAAGCTGTCCTGCTGGGGATGCACTGGGGGGATCTCCTTCCCCTTCCCTGTGGCACGGAGGCAAATCCCATCCTCTCCTTGTCCTTCCTCCCCCAGACCAGGAGCTGAGGATGGAGAGCAGGGAGGACAAATCCTCACAGCAGAACCTCGTAGAAGACGCTGTTTTGAACAGCTCCACAGCACAGGAATCCAACAGGGAGGAAAAGCCACGGAGATCAGGCATAAGGAGAGGCTGCAGACACAGATCAGGAGGAGCTCCCACCTGACTGTCCACCAGGGGATCCACAATGGGGAGAAGCCCCACAAGTGCTCAGAATGTGGGAAGAGCTTTAGTAAGAGATGCAACCTCCTCATCCATTGGAGAATCCACACAGAGGTGCGGCCATACAAGTGTCCCGAGTGTGGGAAGAGCTTCCGGACGAGCTCCCACCTGACTGTCCACCAGAGGAGCCACACCGGGGAGAAGCCCTTCAAGCGCAGACAGTGTGGGAAGAACTTCAGCAAGCGCTGCAACCTGAACTACCACCAGTGGATCCACACTGGAGAGAGACCCTACGAGTGTGATAAATGCAGGAAGAGGTTTCAGACCAGTTCTCATCTCCTCCAGCACCAGCCGATTCACTCAGATGAGAGGCCCTTCCGCTGCCCTGACTGCAGGAAGGGCTTCAAGGACAATTCCACCCTCATGAGGCACCGCTGCGTTCACACTGGAGAGAGGCCTGGGGCGAGGCCCTACGTGTGTGATCAATGTTCGAAGGCATTTAAGACCAGCTCCCATCTCCTGCTGCACCTGCGCACTCACACAGACGAGAGGCCTTTCTGCTGCCCCGACTGCGGGAAGGGCTTCCAGCACAACACCCACCTCACCAGCCACCGGCGCATCCACACCGGGGAGACGCCCTATGAGTGTCCTGAGTGTCGGAAGAGATTCTGGCGTAGCTCAGCCTTGACCCACCATCAATGGAGACACCAATAAGGGCAGCCCTGTGAGTGCCCTGAGTGCAGGAAGAGCTTCGTGTGCTCCTCGAGCTCCAGCTCCTATGGGAGATCCACCCTGGATGATCCCCAGTGATCCCTGGTGATCCGTGGTGCCGGTGATCCCTGTTGGGAAGACACCTGGCTGGGGGGCTCCACATCCTCCTGGCTCCCTCTGGGTACCTGCACACATCCACGGAACAACAGCCAAAATCCATTTTTTAGAGCTGATTTGTCCACTCCTGACCCCCCAAAAAAATCACTTTTTGCATCTTCTGCTGCCCTTAACAACACTGGATAGTCTTGGAGGTCTTCTCCAACATAAATCCATTGTTTTAATTCTCTCTGGCCCACAGATATCTTCCACAGCCAAATGGGGAGGGACTGGGACAAAACCCTCAATTTTGGAGACAGTTGGGTGGAAACCCCTCCAAAAAAGGTTCTTCCCACCTGCCAAGCACATGGATGCTCTGCCAGCAGGGATATATAAATCGTTTGGGGTTTTTTTGCCTTGAAACTAAAAGGTTTCTGTTCATTCCTTTCAAAGCCCTGAAACTGGGGTAGAAATAAAGGCGTTGAACTAAGCCGTGCATGGGGACATGTGAGGGACAATGACATGTGTAGGGCCATGGGGGGACATGGACACAGACAGGACCATGTGGGACATGGCAGAACACAGACATGGATTGGAACATGGCAAACATGCATGGGGACATGAACTGGGACAGCATCAATGCCACCACCACAGTGCCACCAGCACCTTCATCTGGGCCATGGCAAAGCGCTGCCTGATGCAGTTCCCGCCACCACATTCCCACTGTCACCACCACGGTGTCCCAGCTGAATGTCACCACCCATCAGGGCAGGATGGGGACATTACTCAGCTGGTGACAACTGGCCCGGAAGTGAGTGACAGACACCAGGGTGTCCCAGGGCCACTGCACTCAGGGGACCTCAACTGCTCATGGGGACAGGGGAAAAGGTCAGTGTCACCTGGCGTGTCATGTTGCCCTGCACTGGGTGTCACCAGAGGCGTCCTGCTGGCAGCATCCACACAGATGTGGCAACATTGTCCCCTGATGTTTGTCATGGTTGCATCATGTCCCCTCGCCTCTGTATGTCCCTATCCCCCACCACGGCTCCCTGTCACCCCTCTGTGTGTCCCCGTCCTGTCCTGTGTGTCCCTGTCACCCCTCTGTGTGTCCCCGTCCTGTCCCGTGTGTCCCTGTCGCCCCTCTGTGTGTCCCTGTCCTGTACCGTGTGTCCCTGTCCCCTTCTGTGTGTCCCTGTCCCTCCCCCTATGTCCCTGCCCCCACCCCTGGTGGGGCTGAAGTCCCCGAGGTCTCGGGTTCGTGTCCTGCAGGGTCTCTTTGAGTCCTGCAGGGTGTCCCTGTGTCCCTCAGGATGTTCCCATGGCTGCTTCCAGCACTGAGTGTCTGCACCCACCCTGGCACAGGCAGACTCATGGCACAGCACCTGTGACACCCCACGACATCCCATGACACCCTTTGATTTTGAGTCCTTCCCCCTCCATTTTGGGTCCATTCCCTGTGCAATGGGTCCCACTTCAAATCACCCCAGAACTACCCAAAATTCCTCACCCATGATGTCCATGCATCCCCCTGGAAGTCCCCCCAGGTTCTTGGCCATGGAACTGTTGCTGGTGACATTGAGCCACAGGATCCACAGGCTGTCCCCAAGGGTGGCCCCGGCTACCGCCTCCAGTGGCCCCTGCTGCAACAGGTCCCTCATGGTGTCCAGGACTGCAACCCCAAACATCAGTCAGTGACCCCGAAAATTCATCAGGGATCCCAAAAACTCACCAGGGACCACAAAAAACCCATCAGAGAGCCCCAGCCCCAAATCCATGGTGACAGGTTCTGCATGCTTGCCGGTACTGCAACCCCAAAAATTCATCACAGATCCCAAAAACTCCCAGAATTCATCAGGGATCTCAAAAATCCATCAGGGATCCCGAAATTGCCTGCTGGGGACAATCCTGATGTGTCCCTTGAGGATTTGAGGACACCTCCAGGATGTCCACCTGTTGTAGTGTGCTTTCTTTATTTGGCAGGTTCTCTGTGTAATTTGTGGTTTTGCAGCCCCTCCATATTGTCCTCCCCATTATTCAGTTTAGTTCTGTTTGTTACCCAGCTACTCCCTGCCAAGTTTCAAACCTCCCCCCCTTCCCAGCTGTTACCCCTCCTGCCCTACCTTTGCCCCAGAACCTTCCTTACTCCTCATTCCATTAAATGTCAATCCCTGCCCAAACCTGCCCTCCCCTTTAGAAACTTCCCTGTCAGTTTTGTATCCTTCAAAACCCCATTAGTTTACTCAAGCTGTTCTCCTCCCTTGAAGTCCTTCATTGGTTTGCACATTGTATTCCCTGCCTTGTGTTCCACCCCTAGTTCACCTCGATTCACTAGAGATTTTATCCTCCCCGAGACCCCCCCGTTTATAAGCCATTGTCTGCCCTCTGTTCAGGGTCCAGGGATCCTGCACTTGCATTGCCCCTCAGCCTGCAGGGCAGGTTTTGCCCCTGAGCAAGGCAGCACGGGCTGGATAGCTCAGTCCCTGCTGGAGACAGAGAGTCCAAATACCCAGACTGCTCATAGCCATGGCTACCTTAAGCAAGCTTAGTGGATATCAGCTTTTTAGTGATTATCAGCTCTCTTAGAATTCCAGCTCTTTGCTTGCTAAGGTGCCTGGCAGGCTATTGGGGGAAGCAGACAAGAGAGGAGAGGAAAAGTCCTGGCGTTCCACAGAGATGGTTTTATTGGGGGGTCTGTGAAGGGTTCCAGCAACGGCTCTTCTTCTGCCAAATGGGCTAAACCAGCCCCTTTTTATAGGGTACAAAGGGATCCAAACTTGTCCAATAGTAGGGGTTTGGGGAAAGTGACCTATGGGGTTACAGAGATAAGCTGGGGTCCAAGAGGTGGAAGACAGGACCTTATTTTGCTATCTCATCATGACTCAGCAATTCCTATCGCTAAGCCTCAGCCCTCCATGGAGCCCTGGCCAATTCCATGGAGCCTGCTACAGACTCAGGGAGTTTTACTATCAAATAAAGTTCCCCCAGTTCCTCCCCAGGGCCCGTGCTGCTGCCTTTTTGTTTCTGTGCCGAACCTCCACTAGCAGCTGAGATTCTGCAGAGCTCCAACGGGGGCTCTGTCGCACCCCTGTTATCATCCAGCTGGGACTCAGCACCCTGTGACAGATCTGTCACATCCACCCCTCCCCACCCTGTGTGTCCCCCCTCACCCTCCCTGCCCTGGGGACATTTGGGGACACCCCTCTCACCCAGGTGTCGCTTCTGGGTGTCCCTGGTGAGCTGCATGGCCACGGCCAGGCTGATGCCCTAAGGTCCCCATTCTAATACACAGTACAGTACACACAGCACATCTCAGTCCCTCCCACAGAAGACAACCAGTGAGCCATTTCTCAGCTTCTTTCTCAGAACTTGGACAGTGAAACCCTGGCTGCATGTCTCTTAAAAAGCACTGGCAGTAAGCTGGAAGTAACTCTTTCGCAACCTCTTTCACAGAGCCTAAGCAACATAACTGCCCACCTGCCCGTACCCCAAAACACAAACACTGAATCCACACCAACAGAGCTTTTGGGAAACTAATATCTCCGCCGCTTACAGGTGACGAAGGGACGGAGGTTGGGTTTACCTATGAATGCTCACAAAAAACAAATCAGGAGATATATTAATCACAGCTATCAAAGGCCCCAAAAAAGTTCTGGTAACCTTCATAGTTGATACGGGAGCCCAGATCTCCACACTAACACATAAAGATGCCCAGAAGTGTGGAGTTGTTCCAACAAAAAGGCAATGCTGCGTTCTTAATGCTTTAGGAACTATAGAACACATGAATGTTGCTTTAGTCAAAGTAACACTCCCTGGAGAGGAAAGTCAATTAGTTATCAAAATGGTAATTGGGAACATTCCGAATAATCTGCTAGGGATGGATGTCCTCGCAGGAAGACAGTGGGAAGACACTGAGGGTTTTCTGTGGTCTTTTGGCACTCCACCACTTAACATTAGGCTGCTTCAGACTGCACCCGCACTGCCTTGCAGTAAAACAATCAATGTGAAACAATATCCTTTGCCTTCTGGAGCTAGGGAAGGCATCAAACTGGTTATTCAAGATTTGCGTGACCAAGGAATAATAATTAACACACGCTCCCCTAATAATTCACCTGTGTGGCCAGTCCAAAAGCCCAACGGGATGTGGAGGCTCACGATTGATTATCATGGGCTCAATGCCAACACTGACCCTCTGATTGCAGCAGTGCCAAATTTAGCTGAATTAATAACATCAATACAAGAAAAAGCTCACACAATCATGGCAACCATAAATGTCAAAGACATGTTCTTCATGATACCTATACAGCCAGAGGACATGGACCACTTTGCATTCAAATGGGAGGGACAACAGTACACATTCACCAGACTCCCTCAGGGATACAAACACTCCCCAACTCTAGCACACCATGCTTTAGCTAAGGAATTAGAAAAAATACCTAAAACTGACACTGTAGCTGTTTACCAATACATTGATGACATTTTGGTAGAAGGAGGGGAAATTAAAGAGGTGGGGGTTCTCCAGCAGAATATAATCTCTCATCTGGAGAGCCTAGATTTAAAGATTCTCCCAGAGAAAATCCAAAGGCCTTCTCAGGAAGTAAAATTTCTGGGAATTTGGTGGCGATCTGGAAGCACATGCATCCCACCTGACACTTTAACTTCTTTAGAGCAGATGAAAATGCCTGAAAACAAAAAAGACCTCCAGCAAGCCTTAGGACTGTTAGTATTCTGGAGGAAACATATCCCAGATTTCTCAATCATTGCTAGGCCCCTTTACAATTTACTAAGGAAAGGAGTCAAATGGGATTGGACTCCTTCTCAGGAGGAAGCATTGCAATTACTGATTTTTGAAGCCATAGCACATCAGGCATTGGGGCCCATTTATCCTAAAGACCCTTTCCAAGTGGAATGGGGGTTTGCCTCCTCAGGGCTATCAATATACATTTGGCAGCAAGGTCCTGAGGGTCCAACAGGGCCTGTTTCTCGGCCTGTTGTCTCTGCCCAGTTAGGCGTAGAATGGCCTTGGGACAACCCGCGCTCCAAAGGATGAGTGCACTCTTCAGATTTTTTGGTCTTCAATATTGTTTATTATTTGTTATCTACAAAGTCATCTCCCAGCCTGACAGAGGTCTGACCAGCAAGACAGCCATGGGCACACTGACCTCCCACTGGGCGGTTGTCTATTTTTATACTAAAAACTACGTATAAGATATTTACCTTTACCTTCCAATACCTTTTACCCTTATTAACAAGTGCGGATTTAATGTGAAACCAATCCCAAAGTGCCAACATCACCACCAAAGATGGATGACAAGAAGAAGAGGAGAAGGACGGGACAGGCCCTAATTCCTCCATCTTGTCTCCTAAAAACCCCCCTGTACCAAAATCCCAAAACCTGTGTTTTCACCCTGTGAATAATCAATTCTTTCACCACTTATCTCCAAGTGATCCTCTTGTCCTCATACAGGTGGCACATCCCGTGCAGGGTCAAAATCCAACCACCAAGCACTTCTGGCAACAATCCAGGGTTTCCAAGCCCCCCAGGGGTTATCTCGGCAACTCTGGACATCAGGAGTGATGTGCTGAATTCCCACAGCCTGTTAGCTTCTTTTCCCATGGTTTTAAAGATGCTGAGAAAAGATACACTGTTGGGAAAAGGGATTGTTTGTTGTTAGCTTAGCTCTCATTGAAGTAGAAAAAATCACACGGCAGCAAGCTATCATATTGAGAGGTCCCTTCAAGTTAATTAAAGCTGTCACAAATGGGACCCCTCCACCCGATGGCATAGCCCAAAAGTCATCAGTCAGGAAATTG